GTTTCGATTTTCTGCTGAAACGGATCCACGGAGATATAATATATGTTCATCCAAATGTAAACTCAGTTAAGGGTTTTTCCAGAAACTATTTACACTTTGTCCTAATGTGCTTTACAACACTACAATCTACAAGGTACAACTTCTCGTATTATTAAATTCTTCTTTAATCCTCACGTGAATTTATTCAGAACATAGTATCACTTTGAGCTTTATCTGAAGTACCGTTAAAATATAACCTAGCCTGACGTACCATAAGAATACAACAAAAGTTGACGTATCGCTATAATACAACGAAATTTGTACCGTTAGAACTAGTCTGTCTTACAGACCCTGATACAAATATATATCAAATACAGCCCATGCAAGTCTATAATGTTTGGCAAGTCTAGATTACTGCAGTATCTGAAAATGAAGAGCGTCACTGGGCTCCCTTTTATTATATTTTTATTAAGATAACTGAGCAACTGTTTTTTCTGTACGATATGTTCATTTCAGAGGCTAGATGTAAGTCTACGTTAGAACACGCGACTTGATTAACTTGGTTGTGTGTTTTGAAATATGTACCATTTGAAAATAGGAAAGCAGTTTTCTGTTGTTCTGCTGCGATGTTCTATGCACCGTACTGAAACAAATATTTGACGGGGTAGCTCAAAAGTAAGAACGTATGTTTCTGATGCAGTCCGCCCCAGTTTGAATCCACTGGCAGCACTTGAGTTATCTTCTGTTCATGGTGTGTCGACAGCTGATGTTGTCGACTTGTCGTTTGATGTGCTTTCGGGGATATTCTAATTACAAATCAAAGATATGTGTGGGTTCACCAAAATGTTAATGTTGATTTTGTTGATGGTTCTGTACTTCTAGACGCTACAGAAATGAGTGTCAACCAAGCAAAGTTCCACATCAAATCGGCCCAGTTTTTCAAGGAGAGGCGATGTGAACGACCAATGCATCGAGTTTATGTGCAGTATGTTGAGAAGGGTGGCAACCTTGTAGAGTCCTTCACTTGGGTGAAATCGGCTGGCCTGAAAAGTGAAACAGAATCGAAGGCTTTCTGTTTGCTGCTCAGGACTAGTCACTTCCCACTCGACAACGTCAATGTGTGATTGTGCATCAAAGTATAAATATGAAATTTAGATCATGCAAGGAATCTGATGAGACTGTCGACCACATTGTCAGTGGTCCAGCTTTTGCACAAACTCAGTATTTTGAGCGCTATGATAGAGTGACTCGATTATTTTATTTCCGTCTTCGCCGTTCTTGTGGTTTGAACACAGAGGTTCATACATGGTGCGAACAAGATTATGTAGAGGGTGTCATGGAAAATGATAGAAATTCTTTGGAAGAGGCCTGTATACAGCCTCAGACCTATCCAGGCCAACAAACCAGATCTTGTCCTTTTTTGATAAATCCAATGAAAACATTTATATCATTGACATTGCTGTCCATTTTGTCACTAATGTGATTTGCAAGCGTCGGGAAAAAGATGGCAAAGACGCAGACCTCGCCTTCGAAATCTCACGCTTGCATCCCAAGTACCAAGTTGTCCAATTCCCCATTCTTCTCGGTGCCTTAGGTTTGGTACCTCCCAATCTGTTGACTGACATTGGGAGAGTACACGTTTTTGCTGCCGGGAATACAGCCCTTCTGACAATGTTGGTAATGCAGAAGGCTGCAGTGTTGGGCAGTCTTCACATTCTCAGAAACGTTCTGGGTGGGTTCGAATAGGCAACGTTTCCTAGTAGAAGTCCCATTCGCTGTGTGGGCTGCGTGTAGAGGGGACAAGGGCCCTGAGCTGATGATGAACCTAACCAGCCTGGCTGTGCCAGGGTCACCTAAATCCTATTTGCTACATTTATTTATTGTAATCTGTAAATAATGATAATAGTAATAATAATAATAATAATAATAACAACAAGAAGAAGAAGGAGACGAAAAGGAATGCCTTCATATACAACCCAACGTTTATATACTCATCTATAGAGATATATACTTTTAACCTATTTTAGCATGTGATGCAGCTGGAATTAGTACGTTCCATCGCAATAGTGAATGCTATTTGTATCACAACACCCCCAAGTAACCCGTTAATTCAGTTCCCTCCCGGAAGTCAGACTTTCCCTATCACAACTTGAGGAGTATATTATCTTCTGAATATGTTTGTTTATAAGTTGGTGACCCTGAAATCGGTAACGTTTGAAGTTGTTAGAGCTCAATGAATGATGAACATGCAAGGATGGCAGATTGTATGTATTGTTGCTGTTGTCAATGAATAACAGTCTCTTACCATCGACAAAACACCGAAAATACATACATCTGAACAAAACATGAACAGTGTTCTCTTAGCCAGGTCGTTTGATATGTGATGTGCACCCAAGTTCTGTCATGCAAAACGCTTCAGGCAATATATAAGGCAGAATAGTGCTTGTGTTAAGATTGTGTTTGCCTATCAGCAATATTCCGTCATTGTCTCGGCGGGGCACATCAGAAATGGGCTTCAAACATTGTACCCATGTAGAAAATCGAACCCGACCTTTAACCACAAAGCTAGCCCACCTTCCTTCCAGACTTGGACAAAGGACATTATATGAAAACAAACACGTTCGGATCGTTAATCAAATTGTTGGTATCGTTTTCATTGTTCGCGAAGACAGCGTGTTACAAGTGTTGCGTTTCTAATGATGCTGAGTATAGTAGTAGCAGCAGTATTTTCTTTCTGCACCGTGCCACAGATTTGTGACGTCATGTCCTATCGATTACAGGGTTCAATTCCCCAACGTGTAAATTTATCCTTATGAATTGATTCATTTTCGTTGAGTGATTTGACCCACCGTAATAAACAGCAGTCTCTGGTGTGGGCTGTGATGCACGGTGAACTGTTTGTGTGAAAGCCTCAGCACAGGAAAGCACCAACACTGACATGCAGCTTTTAAAATCATATCCAAAGAGGTTTCGTGGTCATTCTAACCTGTGGCATAACCCACTATATATTGTCCATAAATCACTTTTACAATGCTGCATTTCCATAGTAACCTGAAGCCAATTTTTATTCAAGAATAAAATTTTACAAGTTTGTGCCATGCGAGATTTTGTTAAAAGCGTATGATTTTAAATTTTAATAAGGTCTCTAATGTGTGTGCTTCCCGAAGTCGTTCGCAAGCTGCAGAAACGTGTTAACAGATTAAAACAAATATGAAAATGATTTTTAAAAAGCATCTGAATAAAGAAACATATGTTCACTGGAAACAAAAAATAATTCGAAATCCATACAGAGATTGGGGGATTAATTAAATTAGTCATAATAATTGCCGTTCAGCGCGGCAAGGATATTCATCAAAAATGAATTTGTTGAAACATTTGACCTTGCGAAACAGCAAATGGAAGATAGCAACAGAATTCTCGCAGGGTATCCATTGCATATTATCAGCTGTTTATCAAACCCTTATGGAGCGCTTGGTACCCGTTGACTCAGACGGAAGTCGAACCGTATTTCCAAGAGGAAATTACAGGCAGAAATGCGATACAGATGCATATTCACTAAATGTGATGTCTAATCACTGCTTCTGGTGAAATGTCATGTAAGAGCTCTTGACAAGACCTGAGGTTGATGTGAATAATTCATGAAATCGACAACCACGAGAATCACATGGAAATCGATCACAGTTGCTTATTGCTGTGGACTTTCAATGTGACACAGTTTACGTTTAATCTCTGATTCCTTTCTTGTACCTTTGAGCTCCTGGTCACACGGCTAATTACTCGCGCACGTGCTTTGCAGTGGATCTTTTAAAGAGGTATTGATCTCCAGAGAGGACACAATTGTGTATATTTCATAATTGCGATGATGTATGTATTCTGGGGACGATTGTGTGGTCGTGTTAAAATTGATTTTACATCTGTTTTATGATGAATGATGAATGATTATGATTTGGGATTGAACGTTGCTGTTTGGTGGTGATGTTGCACAAAATTCCTGACATATTCATATAAGATATATTTATATTCTATATGGTAAATACGTGGATACTTTCAAAAAATGTCATTTTGCTGATTTTAAAATTCTTATAGATTATTCATTTTCCTTTTACATATAGAACATTATTATTTTATAACGTTCACTTTACAGTTTCGTTTGAACGTGCAAGTACACATGTATTACTTTTAAACAAGACTTTTAGCACTTTTTCTCAGAAACCAGCAATAATAAGCACAGGAACATCAGTGCCAGAACTTCGTTACATTAACTGCATGTCCCCTTCAGCAACATTCCGTCCTTTGTGGTGGGAATTGCTCTTGAGGTTCATTTTGCAAATAAGTCAACAAAAAAGCATGATTCTTGTTTTGTTAACGATTTACCAGATTTATGCAAACATTCCTTTTTCACGTTTTACATTTTCTCAAAGCAATTTCTCATTCTAAGATGGGGCCCGCTTTCTTTCAAACATAAACTGTCTTCGTGTGCAAGTCCACAGCAACTGTTGGTAACTTGATTCCACCCAAATATGTTTGATGTACATTTCTTTTGTCCTGTCAATCATTCTATTCGTCCAGTATTACATCCATTAGCTTGCTTTTCTTTGCGCCTGAATATAAAGGTTACTCCGGCGAAAGAGCATACTTACCGTTGTCTTTCAACAGCTTCACAATTACACTCATTACTTTAAATATCCAGATGTAGTTTGTTCACCGGCCTAGTGATGTTTGATTCTGTCGTTCGTATTTTGTCATAGCCATGTATCTTGTAACACTTCGTTTACTTCACACAGTCAAATATATATCTTGTTGTTATCTTTGTTTATTACTGGTCTAAATAGCTCGCCCAGTCGTCAAACAGTCGTGGACGATAGATGTGAAATTATGAAATAATTAAAACGGAATCCGAGTCAATGTCTCGTGTACGGTGAGTTATGATGATGATAATATTTAGTTCAATAATCACGAAAATAATAAACGCTACTTTGTAAATCAGTTCTCAATTGTAGAAAAATAAAACACTATGACAGTTTAAGTGAAATTGATTTTATTCTTTTGTTCGCAACATACTCACATGATACATCCTTTCTCAGCACTGATATCTGAAAAAGTAAATGCATGGATTTGTAATAAACACGACTTTACAAAATACAAATATATGTCAGTTAATTTGAATATACATTGACAAATGAAGAAAATAAATAAGTCAATAAATAAGTCAACAAATAAGTCAATGAATAAATAAATAAATAAATAAATAAATAAATAAATAAATAAACAAACTTTTGCAAAAGTTATTAAATCCCAGCAAAATCTTATTATTCTTTTCATCAAAGCCGAGTTTTGTGCTAAATTAGCGACCGGAGCTGTTCATTGCGTCACGAAAAATCGCTACGCGGTAGACACAATTTATAGCCTAGAAACCCCTTTAGTTCATAAGGTTAAGTGACGGGTGCCAAAGGGATAAAATGATTGGTGGGAAGTGGTCACGTGATCTGTGTTTATGCTCTCAGCCGGGAAAGCAGTTCTTATGGGGGTAAGTTAGCCTCTTAAATCCTTCCACAGATGTTCTCGTTTTTATTGCAATATTCTTGAAAAATGTTTTTGCTTATGATGTAAACACAGGGGATCTTTCTTGCTCATGAAAGGATGTCAGTCACATTGACGCACCGTTGTCGATAACAAACGTGTTAAAGCGAATCGATTTCGATAACGTTAGATTTATACTTTTCTGGCATGTTAGGTGAGATTATGCGATCTCGTTGATTACTTAACAGCATTGAGGGAATTCGTGATCAGTGCGTGCTTCTATTGTTTTGAACGTTTAGCGTTAGGTACCAGATGGCCTAACAGTGAGATCTCATTTGAAATTGACTTCTTTATGTACACTACGACAGAACTGACTACACGTGTGTATTTCGCTAATGGATTACTGAGATTTGTTTACACGTGCTTTGCATCACTTATAAGCTTTTGAAATTTCAAATGTAGAATTTCCTTTAAAATATCAACACCTACAAATATGACAAATGATTCATATGATTATTATAATTTTGTAAACATGTAATTTCTTTGGAGTAAATATAGAAGTTTATTATGTTAATACAAAGATTATCCTTTGTTATTTTCACTGCACAGAATCATAAACAAATCATTTTTACCTAACATACAAATGTTAGATGTAGGAAACATCTTCAAAGAGAAACGTGAAAATACGTAAATATGATCGGTTCATTTCTGATATTTCACACATGAATATCGTAAAATAACAGTGATAAATAAAAGCTGAAATGTTCAAGATATTGAACAGAATATTCACCAAGAAACCAGTCTCCATGCTCTGTATCCTTGACGGAAGCTTGTGAGTAAACAAGCCATGTATGCTTGGTCGAAAGGCGAGAGATTTATTACGCTGTGTCGATAGTAAATCAGCGCTGGTTTATGTTCTCTGTAATTAACCTGCGAATCACAAATTTATCTATCACTCACTATGTGTTTGTAAATCATCCATACCAATCAAAAATTTCATAGCTACTTGTAAGGCTTATAAATTTTCTGCCTTTTGCCACGGTATGGTTTGTGGCGAGTGTTTATGATCGGTTGACGGGCAAATCGTTTTTCAAATGAAATGATTTTTTATGATCTAATAATGTACCTTCTATGCTACAGGAACGAGTTTCCGTATATTAAATGACTGCGAGAATGCACAGCGAATTAACGACTGCTCGGGAAAGCCTCAAAGGTTTTAAGCTTGGGAGAGAAGTCATAACTATCTTATTGTCACTTTATTTGCAGCTTACCAAATCAAGCAGGGATCCTTCGTGCTCTTGCGCGTTATGGGCCGAGATTTTATTCTGACATTCTGCAAAGCATTTAACAGTGAAAATCAAGCGTAAAAAATTACATGAAAGACGAATTTGAATTTTAAACCACTTAAACGACAAGAAGTTTAAATATTCAATTCCAATTTATTCGATTTGTGAACCCTGGATTTGAACCCTGGAATGGGCTTTAGTCACGGAAAAACAGTATTTGGCAACGTAAAAAAGTTTTAAGATAATTCACCTGGCAAACCCTTAGATTACTGTATTGTCTGATAATAATTGAAATAGTTGGCGAAGATCAGTAGTGTCAAAACAATTATAACACGCTGTTTTAAAACGGTTGATACTGTTAAATTTATTGCTTTAATTCGGTCTAATTACAAGTTGAATTTTCTACGTCATAAATAATATTAATATGGGGTTAGTGTTTTCTCAAGAATTATGAGATGCAATGTCATAGGTTAATGGAAATTTTATCAAATTAATTTAGAATATAATTGTTGTTTTTATCGTTGATGTTTTATGGTAAAAAGTTTTCCGAAAGGGCTGTCCTATAAATGACTTATCATCTTTAAGCATTTTTATCATCTCACTTTGTGATTTTTCTTCAAGACAGAATACACATTCTTACATATAAAACAAAAGTATGTTTAGGCCAGGAGAAGGTGTTTCACGTATCAGTACGTAATTTGTTAAATGCATGTAAGAGACAATGATCCGGTCGATGATATCATAAAACTCGTAGTTTCGTATCTTGTTCATTACATGTTTTAACCATAATCCTTTTGTTTTAATTAATATTTCGTTAAAATCGAACACCGGCTTATAAACGCTATGACTCGAATAGTACGATAGCTGAAAAAAGACATATTTTCACTCTTCCAAAATCTGGTTCATAGATACAGATATTACACATGAAATTGCATCTTGACAAAAATACATTTGCCCACCACGTTGAAAATAATATATAATAGATATTGAACTAAACGACAATACAAATTTTATTGAAAACATATGGTTGGATGAAAATCTCATCTACCTACGAACTACCGATGTGCTAAGCGATATGGCGTATAGCTGGAGTAGCTAGGCGCTATGCTTGAATCGTTACATGATTTATGCGTTTTCTTTTAACGTTTTATATGCTTAAACGACGGGGGAGAGAAAGAAATAGGCCTTTGATCTTTTGCCGCGTTTAGAACGGATCCTGACTTTGAATAGACGTCTACCAAAGTTCTCAGGTGGCTTTGCTATCAAAGCCTTCACGAACGGGTTTTGACGCCTGTCTTCATGCTTTGCATACACATATTCGGAGTTTCTAGTCCCGGGCATTGAGCAAAAAAAAAGAAGCAAAATGCGTGTGTGAGACGCATAGCCCAAACATCTGAAATCCCGCTGCGAGGATTTCAAAATATCATTGCTAAATAGATCGAAAGACGACGGGATGGTTTTAGGGTGTCTAAAACTATAACCGGGAATAGAGACGAAACGAAACAATCCGATGGTATGCTTTATTCAAAGTATGATTATTTCGAGAAAGTCATTGCTTAATAGGTCGAAATGAAAGCGAATGTTTCTTGTGTGTAAAACTATAACTGGGCATCGAGACGAAACGAAACATTAACAGACATTCTTTTATCCCCCCGTCGTGTTTCAATGGGTACAATTTATTGGGTCATTTTCTCATCACTTTATGGAGTAAGGGTGATTGCCAATGTCGGCTAATCAATTTAAGGTGTTGGTGATTTTTCAGACTAGTTTATCGATCTGATGGGCTAAAGTGACCTTAATGTTGATGAAGGCTTGTAAACGTTATATCGATTAAAGATATTAGCTGTTTCGTGTTATAAACAGCCACCGGATTGATTTTTACAACTACCTGAGAGCCTGGGCGTTGTAACGAAAAGCCATAAACATCCTACAGGTCTTGCCGAGGAGTAGTTAACGTGGAATTAAAGGAACTATGTTGTACACTTAACTGTGTAAATAGAGAAATTTAACCTAACGGAATAATTGTTTTGTTCATATTTCAATTATCCAAACAGGTCATTTAACACATGGTGACACTTTACTTACATTAACAAAGTGTTGAAATAGTAAACCTAATTCAACAACTGAAACGAGTATGTTTTTAAAATCAGATCTCTCTTTTTGTCAGTCCCATAAGACGTACCAATAAGACATCGAATAACAAAGTGATATGTTTATAACAATATCACGTTTTATTAGGGAAGCGAATGCCTGCATATTATGCATATAAAACTAGTATGAATTATTCATATAAATATTCACTATTCAATATTTACTGAATACATGTCACATATATTTCTAGTATTTGTTTCTTAAAGGGAATTATTCTGTATTTTATGTTTTTAACATAAAATGCCTTTTATTGCGTTTGTTAAGCGAAAGGAAATGCTTAAATACAACACACCAATCTATTGTTTTCGATAGAAGTGTTTCGACAATTTTCTGTCTGACAATAAAGAAATATTATTAATTTTTCCTTAATGTCTCCCTAAATACATTTTACTGTTAAGTGATACAAAAGCTATTAATATGAGTTACAAAATAATTTCTTTGAAAGCAATTTAACGGCATGGATGTCGATCGTACTTTCTATTGTATTCACATTACTATCGGAAACTACAATTATCTTGTCGTCAAACTTATGTTAACATAGCCCCACTTGTCAGTTACATGTATATTTCATGTTTACCACATGTATATTTCATGGAAGTCGGTCTTGACAAGGGCATGCCGTTTTGTTCATTGTTAAGGTACAGTGAAATGTCTCATGCGTTATGGAATTTAACACTGCTATTATTCACGAATAGCAGGCTGTGTATTTATTTATCAACAGTAACGACCATTGCGTGTACTTTATATAGGTATATAGGAAAGTGAATAATCGCTAAGTCAGTTAATTTTAAAAATGCAAAAAATATTTTCCGCGATCAGAAAGAATTCATGTGATAAATATGATATATTCATTCATGAAAATATATGCAACTATGTATCTAAGAAATGAGATATTCGAGATTATTAACAAATTGTTATAAATAAACCCAAATAATTGCATGCCATTTCTTTTTATTATATAAACTTTTTTTTTAAACTAATTGATTAATATAACGTTTAATCTATTAATCAAAGTCAAAATTCTTAAAGTTTAAATCCCAGGTCAATTCGAAATTTATTATTTATATTCGGAAAAACAAAACAGATAGGATAGTATAAATCCCTTATAATAACACAGCGTCAAACTTTGAAAACATCGAGGGGGTTCGGTAAAGTAAGATTAAAATTGGCGACAATTTTTTACGGAACGTCGTTAATTGAGACACTTGGTCATGTCGAGTCACAAGCTTGTCTCTTTTCATCAAATTTGTCTGTTTAGCTCGACGAACAAATGATAAATGTACAATCTACCGCCACAGTTATATTTAAACAAAATGGCCGGAAAACCCGCAAAATGGCGTCGACTGGGAAACCAGCTTGGCAGAAAGATTGATTTTTTACACTCAACAAGAACGGGCGAGTTTTCTCTCCCGTTTCCGCCAAACAATAGCTAAAGAGCTCCAGCAGGAGTTGGTAATATAGGGAAATGACCAGTAATGGACAACGATGACCAATTCAGTGAGTGTTTCTTGTACGATTCAACACGGTCAAGTAGCATTTACAATCTCTGCTTTCAGGGAATATCAGCAGCGATTTGTTTACGTTTTGTCAATGCTGTTCATGCTTTAATGAAACGAGTTTATTGAATTTCCGATGATCTGAGCTTGTTGGTGTTTCATGTTTTGTTTGTCTATAGTTGTATTTATGATTGATACTATTTCCGTACTATATGTTTGTTTATTGTTTTGATTATGATCATTGAAATGATTTGCGTTTAATTTATTTCGATAATAACTAAACATACGATGCTATTAAAAAGATTATTTTGATATCACCATCACCTGTAGGTTTGGTGTGAACATTTTGTAACGTTAGATGAAATAAGAATGCAATTCAATTAAAACAAAATTAATCAATTCATAAGCAAATTTTTGCCGCAGTATAATGGTAATTATATAGCAAGTTATAACCTTTGAAATATATATTTCTGTATTGTGGAATTCCTCCTGTACATGTATACATATCCTGAAATATTTGTTCTGTGCCCATGTAGATATTACATTACTCTTTCGTGCATGACTGACTAAGGACACATGTTATGTATTATGTTCACCAGAGCCTTATAATTATACATAGTGTACATAGTCTTCAACGAAACACTTTTAACAGTGACGACTGCATTTAGAACAACTGTGTTTCACATACCGATATTCAACTATTTGTCTTGACTTTCAACGCGGAAACATAAGGTAAAATCTACATCAGACACCGACACAGAAAGCCAACGAAGTAGTGTCTTATCGAGCAAACACGACGATATTTTCTTACCTCCAAGTTTTAAAATCCAGGCAGCGTGTATAAAGGTTCGGTGTCCTGTGTTGCTCTGGCCCAAATGTGAACGTGGCTCTACGCGCCTTTGATGTCACCTCACTATTGTGGGTCGGGGGCTGATTTACGACGCTAGTCCTACGACCGTTTCTCGGAAGCTAGAATGGATAACAAAATATTCCCCATGTAAAATAAGTGTTATCGGTGTAGGTGATTTATGATAAAATCAAAGAAATCTCCTCCGCGAATACTATAGGTGCATTAAGCCACCCCTTCACTTCGCGGAGGTTTTTTTGTCAATCGTTAAACTTCAATGAAATCGCTTTGGATACTTCGGTAAACTGCAAAGCGCTTTATCTATCCGTGTCTCCTTCAGATGAAATTTATTTAACTGGAAATAGATTTGGGAGGGTGGGATGCTGGCGTACAGGTTTTATTACCAGGGGCCGGGCATTGTTCAACGGTCCCCTAAAGAGATTTAAAGACGGGCTGTAAACCTCTGCAAATAATGATAATGTACGGTCACTAAACCACATACTCTATTCTTGTGCAGATATTTTAACATTGTTTTCTTCTGTCTGAAGATCATGCTTGATTATGTCGTTGAGGGTTTTATTTCCACCGTAAAGCCAGTTTCAAAAGACATGGGTAATTTCCAATAAAGCCGCTTATTGTTGATTTTCTCTGTATATTTTCAGGTCTGCAGAGCTGACGAAATTAATTAGTATTTGCGAAGACTGGCGGGCGGTAAACGCTGCGTGAAGGCTGTAGCTGCTTGTTCGTTGTCAAGGATGGAGGGCCCGACTATGAGTTCCTATATTCCTAATTCCTATAACTCTAGCCTCGAACCAACATCGCTCGGTTCGTGCAATGGCGGACAGATTCACATGACGCCGAACTCTAGTTATCCTTCAGTTCGGCAGCTACAGAACTATTCCTATTCTTCTTATAATACTCAGTCAATGTACCCTCGTTTCCCATCATACGACAGAATTGATGTCCGCTCTATGGGGGGCCACGTCCAATCAAATGACTTTTATCGTACACATGAGAACAGTAATCCCAACAGCGAAAACTGTCGCCAGTTCGGCGAACGAATACCGGAAACGGACGCCCCAGAATTCAATAGCTGCAAACTTAATGGCGGACACGGGTACAGTGAAAAAGACACAGTTTCTGACTTGCCGCAGTCCGACTCCCCCAGCCCATCACCCCAGGGGTCAGACGGTTACCCTGCGGGGTGCCCAAATGAAACGGGTGGCGACACCGGAAGTGACAGCAACTCTACCTCAACACTTCCGGTTTACCCATGGATGAGGAGTCAGTATGGTGAGGCTTCTTCCAAGAATAAAACGATATAAAACGAATAAAAAATAACAAAACAGTTTTTCCTCCTAAAAGGAAGACAACAACAAAACAGAAATATAAGAAAAATAAATAAACAAACCACCAAAAGAGCCATTAATAAGAGATGATTACTGATACGTGCTGCGAGTATTATAATTGGGTAAGGATACGGATGGGGGAGAAGGAATATATTTTAGGTTCTTGCGAAACAAAAGACATGCGCAAGCTTTTTCTTGTTTACAGTTGATGTGTAAGTACCAACATGTTCACTTCCATGGAAGACTGACCAAATTTCATATTTCCCAGCACAAAATTTATTTACATTTATTAATATCCAAGCAGCCATACACTAGCAAAAATACGTTTAAATTAGTATCGACAGGTAGGAATGTATCGTAGACATCAAATTATCTACAAAAAAACATTGCAAGTTTGTTTGAACATGCGTATTTCGATAAACAAACATAAAAGAAATTGTATCAATTGTTTCTTCTATCTTTAGCACAGGTGTGAAGTGATTGTAGCAATCTTGATTTTTCGTCTGACGTTTGATAGAAATGTGCCCAGTCTTTGTCGCCATAACCCCAGCAGTTAAGTGATGACTGTCACGCAATATACAAATATTTTATCATGCTTCAGACTTCAAAGGAAAGACTAGTCTCGTTCGCATGATCGCATAACATCGATAACCCGACAATGACCTGTCATAACAGTCGTGCACCATCGAGTACTAAAAAACCTTCAGGTGGATTAAAAGACTAACAGAGTCGCTTCCCTTTAGTTGTATATTTAGACATGTGTCCAACAGCGTTGTTCAATTTGCAAATAGTAAAAAGTTGTCCATAAAGACAAATGGATGAACAAATATCGCAAAAGAGAAAGCCATTTACTTTCTTTTTGGAAATATAAATTGATGAATACATACGTTCTCGCCCAAACTTATCTCTGAACTGCATATACGGTATTATCGGACAGAATATTTCATGTCATTATATACTTACTTTTCTTAAAAATGTCATTTATTGTCAAATTCAGTATGACCTCTCCAATTGTGCAAAACTTTGATAACTTTGTAAAGCAGTTGAAAAGTGTTTAACTATACACATATGAGGAAATCCTACCACATATGTGAACAGCGTGGCATAGTATACTTTTGTAAAAATGTCGAGTTAACAAACTTGAGAATTAACATTAAGCACTTATGAAACTAACGAAATATATTACTTACAATAATTTGGCCGCAACACGTTGTATCTTCCAGTTCACAAAGAACTATAAATCATAGATATATTTATAAGCAGCAAATGAAATAATGCTTGCTAGTTTTATTTATGTCAACAAAGAAACCAATCATCTAAAACTGAATAAATAACTTGAATATGGACTACTTTTCAAATTTCAAGGCAAGTTTACGAAAGATAAATTATTGTATTTAAACTCATCAGATATTTATAGTTTCATAGTCCTGCATACATACATATTCAGAGAATAAATATAACACAATATTTTGTTACAATAGAAGGGCAAATAATAACAGAATCTAACTCCAAAATGATACCGGTTTCGGTATAGATGCTCTTCACGTGGATAGGAAGATTTAATTATATTCACCCAAACCAAAGATACATGTGAGTGATTAGCTCATAGAATAAAGAGAATGTTAAAGAACTAATTGGCAACATTACACCGGTGCTAATGAAATTAAAACCCAACTCCAAAATGTAATCATTTTTGACATAGATGATTTTACGAAGCGGCCAACAGTTTTTACAGCTGAGCGAATGAAAATAGTCCAGCCAAGTACCTGCTGCGCTAGTTTGTTTTTAGTGTAAGGGAGACAACTCCAGACACTCTTGCATCAGCATTCTCCATAGGGGGTGTAAAATATCTGCTCGCTTTCTACTTTGTTTGTTTATATATATTAGCCATATATCTCGTTTCCCTAAACATTCATTACCGAAAGCCTGATCGTATAAACATTGCGAGGAACCTGGCATCCTTCACAGGTTGAATTACAGTACGCTCCATGACTTCGATACATGTACAGTTAAGATATTATTATCATTTTATCAAATTTTACCATTTATATATTTCATAATTTACAAAATACATATGTTGTCTCATAAAACCGATATTGATACCCGATGTCAAGAAAAATAACAATCCCGATAATGTTAACGTGTTTTCGTTTCAATTTAATATTTTTGTAATTGTTATCTATCAAATTTTCATTTAATCTACAGTAATTGTCAAGTCACAACCGTTCTGTCCATATATTATATCAATCAACTGATTATTTGTTAAATTTCAATCCAATAAATGTCAAAGATATCTAGATTTCGTTATCTAAATTTTCTAAAAATCTGAAAGTTGAAATTTTACATTAATCAACGCTAACCTTATCATTTCTATCATTGCAGGACCAAACAGAAAACGTGGCCGACAAACATACACTCGATACCAGACCTTGGAACTGGAAAAGGAATTCCATTTTAACAGATATCTCACGCGCAGACGCAGAATAGAAATCGCGCATGCGTTGTGCTTAACAGAAAGACAGATAAAAATCTGGTTCCAAAACAGACGGATGAAATGGAAGAAAGAGAGCAAGCAGATCGATCAACCAGGTGGTGACGGACGGGATTCCGATAAAGAGAAATAAGCCATCATTATACAACTGGCAGCGACAGACTGATAGGGTTGGAAGTTCGACAGATGCCACCGAATTAGGCCACGCCCACCGCATGCTGATTGGTGGCTTGGTGTTGCGTGACAGTCATGTGACGTAACTTGTCATAGTTAATGGTACTATGCATACAGTTGCTAGAAAGGCAGTCAGCCTTGATATCTACACGAGAAAATGCCTTGCGGAGAATTGATGGATTGGTCAGTTTATATCAATTTCTTCAATGCGAATGATTATTGCAATGTGCGCGTCGCCTTTGAATATATTTATCACCCTATTTAATTCATAATATAACATTTGGAAACAAAATTAATTTGTTGAACATTTTGTGGGCATAATTGTTCACAAGAATTTGAATTAGACCTGTTGTAAAGTTATGCAAAATGGATGTAAGCATTTTATGTTTTTTATGATTATTATGACAATGAAATATTGTTAGACATCTCCTCTTTATCCAGAAACTCTGGGGAGTCTGCATTTACTCCGTTCATTGAACAATTAGCACTCTAAACCTTGAATGCTGGTGGAAAAAATAACAATAATTCACTTTGAGATGTTAAACTTTTGTACGAAAATATGAAATTTCATATAGTTTAAAATGTCATCGCCCGACTATAACCTGTCTCGGTTATACGAAAATATCAGAAAATATTTTCATGTAAGTAGATATTTGATTAGCTAGCCGTTCAACGATGAATCGTGCGATGAATTAAGTTAAAAATTTCTTGGGTTGAATCATTCTAATAAATAGTTCATTCTTTAGAGTTTTGAAAAAACAACCTTTTCCACCAAGTCACATAGCTATTCAACATTCCATTAACAAGAACAGAGGCAAGTGATATTGCATCATTTGCTTTAGTGAGCCTTGAATTGTGTTCTCATCAAAGCATTGCATGGATAAATTAACTCACTCTATAATTCAAGATTTGACAATTAAATTTTAATTTGATTCCTAATTTAAAAGTACCACACGTACCTCAAATTCTTTGATCTTCCATGGAAAATGTCGTCTAACGCCCGTAGAGATGACACTTGAATTCTAAAACCAAAGATTAAATTTCAGGTTGATTTATTTTATAAAAAAATGTCGGTTGCATTCCATTTATAAATTCACAATCCATCATTTCTAACGTAAGCGGAACTACATACCAAAGACAAGGGACTATTTTTTCTAGTATTTCTACGCGGTTGAAAGGGTACTCGTCTCGGTCTTAAAAAGGGTATATAGTAAATGTTATGTTTTAAGTAATTCATTTTATTGTTGTTATTGTACTGCATTTCATATGAATGTTTATAATTGTTATTGTAATTGTGTATATGTTTGTCGAGATGTATATGTGTTGTGTCTTGTCTGTATTCATGAATCCATTGCCTAAATATCCACAATCACAAATCATATCAGTTAGCTATTTTGCCATATTTTCACGAATTAATTAATTAATGTATGTATGTTTTATTGTTATACACATTAAACCACATACTGTAAACATTACAATGCATTGGGTCAACAATTTCGTTATTTTCCGTTTTTAAGTTTAAGATTTATGAAATTGAAAAGATGTTTTACATGTAAAAACCCCACCGATTTTACTTCCAGGTGAGATTATGTGAGTCCATGCTTTACTTAGTTATCTGAAATTAATTAAATTTAATATTATCTAATTTAATCAATTTCACAATTATACGGACAATTGTAGAAGTGAATTGGTCAATTTTATAAATATATAACCTGTGCTCAATTTACTTAAATATATCAATTTATCACATAAACGCTGAATATTACTAAACGTTGAACGAAATCTTGAATTCTACTGCGTATACCGAAACGTACTGTACAGCAAACAAACCTACTATACCACAAAGAAACAGGTATACATCTAATGTGCAACACATGTCTAGAAAGTAATAGAGGTAGATGTAGTTTCATAATGTCACAATTGGAAGAGAATTGCGAGAAATGCAATTCCACGTTACCTTCAAAACGAGAATGTTGTTACGATATTATAAATATACCAAACCGCTTGGGCGAAATAGAATATCATTTAAGCATTGTTGGCTTCTTGTAAATAAGCGACATTAAACCTGCTTAAGAGTAGCTTCACTTGCTTGACCAATATCGCTTCCGTATACACAAATTGTGGCTTAAATCTTCATGTTTTTAATGAAATAGCTACAGCCAAAGAACGATAAAGTGCCATAGTTTATGACTGAGAACTATATTATTGTAGACGTTTAGCTTGAAAGTGCTACAACTTGGCTACATTTGGTCACCTCAGGGGATACTATCATAGCATTTGTTTGTGTATGAATAATTCAAACGCACCACGCATTATTTACAGCCTTAACCAAACCGGCATTCTGCGACTGCTAAAGCCACGCATTTTATTCTTGAGATATACTTAAGATACTTTTTTACCGGTTTCAATCATTTACAGATTAAATAGATTTTCAACGAATAAATTCTTTTATCACTCAGTTTTCTCGTGCATTTTGGCTGCGATTGGTCTTCCAAATAATAGTTTGTCATAGTCATTTGAACTGAAATAATTCAAATGTAATGTTTGTAGTCGACACAAACATAAATATGTATTCTGAAACAAACATTAATAGATAAACAAATGCTTTTATTTTATTTTTCATTTATTTCTGTTTCGGTTCTTAATTAGTTTACACAAGTTATCAAAAATGAGATAGATAGAGGAATCTGTTTCTTTTTGTGTTAAACACTGCCATGCCGCTGTAGGCTAACCACGGGCAATATGTCTGGCTAGATGGACCTAGTGTTGTATCTTATTCTGTGATAGTTTTTGCTTGGCATTCTCAAATTCATCATGCATGTCTTACAATAGCAATTCGCTCTTGTCACTTATTGTTTATATATGCAATTGCATATATTATTTGCTACAGAATAAACTATGAAATAGAAACACGTGTTTGTTATTTGTGTTTATGTGCACATTTTAAACACATTTTTAATACACAACACATAGTTTCTGGGAAAATGTTCTTCTTTAAGCACTAAAACAGTGTTCCTATTTTTTACACTATTTATCGGAAATATTTATAGTTAATATATATTGTTGATTATATGATAAGTGATGACATACTTTATTTAAACGAAAACATATAATCGATGCGAGACTATATCAACCGTTATGTCAATCGCTGATAAAATCGTGTTGTTGTTATTATACGAAATCCTCGTTATAGTATAGCTTCCAAACTGTATGGCAATAGAAGTATACCTATTTGAGGTCACCAAATGCCACAAACAAGAAATGGTTATTTGGCGGTGATGTATTTCATACAGGGATCATAGTTTTGTTTTGGATTTTACGTTTCAGTGTTTCCGCGTCTGTTTTGAGCCTAGTAAGAATGCCGTTTGTTATTGTTTGGTCAAATCGATTTTTCAAGTATACACTTATTTTGCTCGGTAGTTTTAAGTGTATTGATCACGATCAAAATAACGCTGTTAATTGGATATTGGACAGACAGATAAACAAAGAATTTTTTTTTAATGAATATTTACGGCTCATGATTTCGTTGAGAGTATAAACATTTTGTATTTAGATCAAATAAGTTTGATATCGTTGAAAACGATATACTTCTTACTTATTTCACAAGAATTTTTTTCGAAGATGAAGATCAGTTTGGAAACATTGAAGTGAAACAGGATGAGAAGGAATATGATCGTTGAGCCATTAGAGAATTAGGCGCCGGTGTATGAGAATTAATGATATGTAAATCCGAGAAGATATATCGAGAACATTATCACACTTGAAAACTTAATCAGGTACTTTTTCACCTTTTCTAGAAAACTGTGCCACATGGTTAAGAAAAATGCATGTGAAAACATGTGAACGTTTAACTATTATATATAAACAGTTTGTGTTTTGAGTGTTAGAACTACATAATTTAACTAAATTAAATTAGAGACCGTAAAATAATTAATGTTATTTTATGGTCTCCGATTACGTATAGCAAATTATGCAGAAATTAAACAAACTATTTATGTGTTTTGTTTAACTTACGGGTTAATCATATATTGCAATGTATAACGTTTCAACCGACAACATCTGTGATTCTTGTTCAATGAAATGCAAAACTGGAAATGCTCCTATAATTCGCTGTTGTTTATCTGTTATTTATTTTGGTTGTACATCCAATTATTAGATGAAGATGGAGGTAGTATTGTGCAACACCCACACGAACAGTCACCCAAGCAGGCCAACAGGGTCTGTCGTCATCGTGATGACGGAATTCAAATCTTTTGTCACAATGAAATATGTCCATCACTTTTCCATAAATAACCACGCATTATTTGCGATAGCCCGCGCGACGCACCGCTGACGTTGAAATAAATTTCTTCTAAATCTGACAACCCCAAAGCTTTAATCATTCTCGCACGAGATCTTAATCGATGCTAATCATTCGATTACATTTTAAATTCAATGTTATTTATCAGAATGTGAGTGCCCTGTCTGCGGGCGAAGTCTCGCGAGACTTGACAGCCTGGTCAAACCTCGGTCACGTGTTGTTTCAGAGGTTCGACCAGCATGAATCTATGAGATACAATTGCGGTATTATTCGTCATAACGATTCAGCCTGCTAATTTCTTGTCTCATATTCCTACTATTGAAAGGCAGTCGACCTGAATTTATGGGCAAGTTGGGACAAGGGTCAATCGCCATTGTAATAGACATCTGAATGGTAAATGACAGTGCCGTCAAACGAATCCTGTAATCTGTGGTCAGAATTCAGAAAGGTTCCTTAATGTTTGATTTGAAGTACTTTTCAAAGACGAAAATAATAACCAAATCTAACTTATTTTTTTTATCTTGATTTAATACCAAACGAAATATACAAGGGGACATATTTTTTATTACCCTCAACTCTGAAATCCTGCCCTCTTCCGTCACGCCATGGTGCCTTTGCAATGTACAACAGCTATATATCAGAACATGTCAATTAGGGAACCGTAAAAGTCCATTAACTGCGTTGAATTACACTCCGACATTTAGCCAATATCTCAACACAGTTATGTGCCCCTTGTGAGCTCTTTAGCCTCAGAAGTCTCCTTGTGCTTCGTGAATCGTGACAGCGCCACCTCGCGGCACTTACGTAATCAAAAGCCAGCCAATGGACATTAAGCTTACAAATTACGTAATTAATGGCCGGCCATAAGGGAAATCCCCCATTATGACGTCGATACGGGGGGTGTTGTCTTCCTAGAGACCTGTCTGTTCGATTCTTACACAACATTTTCTCTTATCAACCACATGGTGATTGTTCCGATGGATGGTCGTGCACATGTCACCCTGTCCGATTGTGATCACGTATAATTGATTACTTGAATAACTATTCAAAATCGAAGATGTTTAGTGTAAGCTCTGGCATTACTCTTGATTATCCATAATCGTTTACTTCCATTTGTTCGTTAAAATGTCTGTCCGGTCGCGTCAAGAAAACAATGGTTCAAACGCACAATGTTATTGGCGCTAGCTGACTAACTGATGCTGTCTGGAAGAAAACCTTGAACAAATACATTGAGTAATGGAAGCAATAACGACGGAAACCTATCGAAACTAGTAAAAATAAAATAGTTGTTACCATAATGACATGAACGAGTGAGTACGATTAGACACTTCTTTCGAAATTAGTCGAGCCGATCTTTAAAGGAAACCATGGATAATGTCCACACATTGAAGCCATATGGGGATCGAACACGGCCAAAGCGTCAAAGCAGCAGATCGTACTTGTAAAACGTGACACATCGACGTCGTACCAGCTGGTCCAGTCCACTGGAAACCATTGGGTTTTATGAGACGTGTGAATTTCTTTAAACATGTGATAAAAGGAGGACTTGTATAAGGATCTGTTAATTTACAAGAATACGTTGGACATCACACCCGCTACCTCCGATTCTTACATAATTCATGCACAGAAGTTATTACATTTATAGAACGAAAGGTCGCCGGGGCTTAAATATAGCTAAAATCCGAGACAAGCGGAGTGTATATATCCTGTAATAATAAAACTTTTGGCTATACGATACATCGTCATAAACGATATATCGAGGTAGAGATTTTTGAGTTAACGATGTTTCGTGTCTATTTCAAAGTGCATTGACCGAGAGAAGGTCGACATCTAGAATGACAGAGATAAATGCAAAATGAATCTTTGAAATAGATATACTAGCATTAATGTACATATAATCTTCATCCCACAAGTGCCATGTCATCTCCATCTGAGATGCTCATTTCAAAATGTGACTTTATTTGTCATCGCGCTTTTTAAAATGGTAAAATACGTGTTTATTGTCACCGACAGTGCTTGAATATGAATGACATAAGCCAACATGTAAGCACATATACTACATCAAGACAAGTTCTAATGTTGATGTCAGAAAGATGCAAGTATATTTGAAAAACAAAACATCTGTCATCTGTCACTTGCAGCAAGCTTCGTGCCGTTTGATGTATACATGTACGCGAGGTTGGCGTCAAGGGGAGGTAAATACTGTCTACTTCATACATCATACACAACACCGCAAAAAACATATCTCCTTAACAAAATAACATATTGTTTTTTCCAACGCTTAGAGCGGATTGAAATATGCATGAAACAAAACCGTTACATTTCGTAGGCGAAGGTGGTGTTTTAAACTAAATTAGCGATGAATTTGAAGCAGGGAGGGAACGAGGCCACCCTTTACAGCTGATTCATGTGGTTTGAAATATATACTACATTTACCTTGATGACACAGAGGGTGAGCTAAAACTGGACTAATGCAGTTCTTTTATAATAATACCTATGCACCTATATAAACTTGGACAGCCACAAATACAAATATCAAAATGGACCGAAGCAAAGAAACATATCGATCCGTTCAAAAGAAAAGCCACAAGTTTGTATGTCTGAGACTTGCTGACAGCGCACGTAAAAGGCCTTTAATAACAGCGCCACAGCGAGGACATGGAGTGGACAGGAATTTAACACTGAACGAAAAAAACAATACCCATATAAAAATTGCACACTGGACCCATTTCCTAAAATCCAGATCATATATTGTCAATAAACTTTAATAAATAGCATTTAGATATACTGAATCCAAAATTCGTGTCGAGTGGTAGAAGAGAATATATTTATGCATACTGGAGACAAAGTAAATTACTCTAAAAGGGCGTGAAACCCAAGTCCTTATATCAGACCCACGGGAAAGAAACGGCGGCGAGCAGAACAGCATTGCTGAAGAGGTTTATTGATGTTTTACAGTTAGATGTCATTCCAATCAGTTTAAATGCTATGTCTGTCTCGATGCTGATGTCACCTCATCATCTTTTTATTAACATCTCTCTTCTCACTCAGTTCGCCGTTTCGGATCCTCAAATCTCGCCTTTGGTCGACAATGACTAAAAGCATATTATCACAAGACCAGCAGGGTGCATTCTTTCTCGGAGTAGTTTATCCCCTTTAAACCTACCCTCCCGGATCATTATATACAGGGCGTAAAAGCGCCCGAGACGTCATGGTATTATCGGGCTGTTAAACTTGAGATGGAATTCAGTATCCGCTGTGAGTACAGCCGTGGTTCCCTGTCTGAAAACACGGGAACTGAGCGTCAACGAAGGCAAGCTCAATCAGAAATAAAAGCCACCTCTACCAGCATCACAGGGCTGCTTATACATACAGCTACTCTCGCAGGCCGTGGTCGTAAAAAGGGTGTAAAGTCCTCGCCGCTGTTTAATTCCGAGCATACTTCTCGTATTATCCCGTCCCCTGACAGCTAACACCTGTGAAAAAAAAAGAACGAAGGTAGATTGACATTTCGTACCTTTTGTACGTTCTGTAGGGAGGGATGTCACAATTTAAGCTTGAATGTGTGACCCTTCTGAGAAGGAAACTGCCAACTTGATGAGATTTGGATGTAAGAAGCTTTATTTTTTTTTACAGTCCAAAGATATAACACGATGGCTGAGAAAAAAACGCGTGGCGTTGGTGGCTGGGATATCTTTTATGTGTGTATTATCAGAGGATGCCGAGAATCTGAAAATAAAGTTTTCATTTATATCATTGGGAAGTTAGTCAGATGGGTTTAGCGTCGATTTGAACAGTGTTCCAGTTCATTTTTATCACGGCTTGTGTGATTACGTTTGGTTTAAAGACCAGCGAGACTAGTATGCAGGAGTGTAACAAACGATAATGACAGACCAAGGATCATAAACGGAGCGGAGCTGACATTGGAACTCACATCAAGCGGATCCTGGTGACAGTAATGGAGGTATACATGTATCTATATGCAAAATTAGGCCATCGTGCTATTCAGGTCATACCTCAATGTGACCCCCACGACACGTGACGCCTTAGACTAAGACAACAGAGCCGCCGTTGTCCACGTAATAGTGAAATGTGAACCTTTAGACCAATGATCCGCTCTGTCCATGTCATAGCCAAATGTGACGTCTTGGAACTCCAGACCATCATTGTCCACGTCATAGTGAAATCTGAAGCTTACCAAGTTCTGCTGCTTTCGTACACGTCAGGAAGAAATGTGACGTCTTTAGATCTTTGGGCCACCCGTGTCCACGTCACAGTGAAATATGACTCAAAGACCACTGGACCACTCGTGTTCATGTCACGGTAATATGACGTCTTAGACTCACGGGCCACTCGTGTCGACGCAAAGTGAAATATGACGTTTAAGACCACTCAGACACTCTAGTCAACATCACAGTGAAGTATGACGTCTTAGACCAATGGGCCACTCTCATCTGGGTCTGAATGATAAATGTGACGTCTTAGATTCATGGGCCACTCGCGTTAACGTCACAGTGAAATATGACTTATTAGACCAATGGGCCACTCTCATCCGGGTCTGAGTGAAAAATGTGACGTCTTAGATTCATGGGCCACTCGTGTTCACGTCACAGTGAAATATGACGTCTTAGACTCATGGGCCACTTGTGTCACCGTCACAGTGAAATATGTCATCTTCGGCCACTGGGCCACTCGTATCCACATCACTTTGAAATATAACGTCTGGGCCATATGTGTCCATGCTACAGTGAAATGTGACGTCTCAGACCAACTGGGCCAGGTGTGTCCACGTCAAAGTGAAATATGACATCTTAGAAAGGTCTGCCACTCGTGTTAATGGCATAACGAACTGTGACATCTTCTCCTGTGCAGGGCGATGGGGTAGCCTAGTGGTTAAAGCGTTCGCTCGTTACGCCGAAGGCCCGGGTTGGATTCCCGACATGGGTACAATGTGAGAAGCCCATTTATGGTGTTCCCCGCCGGGATATTGCTGGAATATTGCTAAAAGCGGCTTAAAACCACACTCGCTCACTCATTCTACCCCCTAAACACTTTTAACTTTCGAGCCAGTCAGGTATATTACATCTATGTCACAGCGAACAGACAATACGAAGTAGAGCTCTGGGTCAGCTATGGTTGATAGCCGTGCGACGACCCACACCGAGTTTCCATGACAAACAATCAGCTACGTCACATTTTACCATCCAATACCCACTGAGGACAAGCAGGGATAACCAAGACCTGTACTGACCCAGAATCGCAATATTGATCAGATCAGAATTGTCACTACCATGATTACAGATTATGTCGTGTTTACGCTCGTGTATGTTGTTGTATATCGAAGGGACAATAAGCAGTTTGCAACTGCATTTGAAATGATTTCGTTTTTGATGAACCACGACAAATCAAATTATAGAATTTGCATTGGAATACATTATCGCTGTATTGAACAGTAAAGCATATTCGAGTATTGCTTAATGTCAATGAAAGAAGGTAATTTAAAGTATCACCCCCCCCCCCCCCCCCACACACACACACACACACGTACACACACGTAGACACACGTGCACACGTACACGCACGTCGCTAAACCCAATTTCACCTCACCTCACCTCACCTCACCATTGGGCGTAAAAGCCAAAATAGTGGTGAAAGGATATGAAAGGATGACTGGAAATCAGTGATAACACCAGGTGTTCCCGAAATGTTGTGCCCTTCCGGTAGTACATATTCAACCAAATCAAGTTCGACAAGGTATGATATGCATTGCCACAAAAAAAGGTTTATCCTCAAGAAACATTCAAAACGATTTATCAGAAGTCAAGATCTATTTGAGTCAGAGACACTTTGCAATATTCTTTAACAATATGATAGTGAGGACCAGGAATTGAATCGAACCTGAATCTTGATCGCGACAACCGAACGTCTAAACAACAAGACCACCCGTAGCCTCAAGGATTATTGGAGATTGTATTTCATACAGTGTGAATGATAACAGTCAAGATGTTTTATGTACTTACATTAATGTTTTATAAACATACTCTCTGCATGTCTACTCCCAAACAAATAACATCAAGGATAATGGTTTATTTGTGCCAGACACGATGCCACCAGCGTGTTTCTTCTAACTGGTCTGTACATTATGAGCCAGCAGAATCGATCGAACTATATACACGTAAAGGTGATCGCGTTCACTACACACTAAGTCGACATCATTTCGATAATAGTTTATATTGCCCGGTGACAAGTGAAATACAATTGGTCTTGTTGAGTGTTTTTATTGATACGAAAACAAAAAATGCATATCAACGGCAGATTTCCGGGACCGTGCATGGGTTGTCTGTTGTTTTAGGAAAGTAGCTCTGAGTAGCAATTCTAGTAGAACGATAATCGGAATTAAAAATTCGATATAAGTGTATCCTGACATTGACCCCCTTACGTGCAAATTTAAGTGACCATATAAAGTTATTTCTCGAGCCATCCTCAGTCCATCCCAGTCCTTAACGCTATCGTTGGACTATGAGTAATCTTTGTAAACGTACGGGAGTTAAAGACAGCCATCGACCCATACCAAATGGCTTGATAACCTGAAAAAACACATGACCTTATCATTTCACAGTGCAGTGCCTATTCTGCACCTGATAGCAGTACAACATTTTGATTTAACATGTTCAGCAAAACAAGCAACCCATTCCTCCAAAAACACAAGGCCTGCGTGATATTCATGATTCTTAAATTGGGACACCTTTCCACAAACCGAACTAAGCACTAAGGTGATCGTAACTTTGATATACATTAACACAGGTTACTAGAAACCATAGGAGTTACAGTGGTTGTTATGCTAACATCTCTTTATCACAGCGTGGATTTTGATTCGTTTCCTTTTACGCCACTAGCCATATTCTAGCCATAACAAAGCAGGGTACACTTTTCGAGGAACCGACACTGGGTTTTTGGTGTGATACATATCGCTTTTACCGCTAGGCTACCCCACCGCCCAGAAGTTTCGACAATGATCGAGCTATCCAATGAAATCAAGATGCGGCATACACAAGGCTTTGTTATTGCCGACTTTGAAATAAAAGTAACTTAATTTGACATTCGATCACTCTTTAGGAAAGGATTTCAAGTGCCTGGAGTTAAATTCACATTAATTCTTTTAGAAAATCACATATGAAACACATGTATGAAGGTCGTTTACCTTGATATTTGCTCATATACTTGTTAATACAGTCTGTCTGGAGATGATCTGTGTGAGTTACTTTTACGAGTTGAATCCGAGAGAATGACAATGCTGGCTTTGTACATCATAATCGGCCGATATTAAAATCTCCGCATGGAGTGAATAATTGTACATGTCTTTGTTTCCCAGAAGCATGTTCCGACAACAACACGACACTGCTCTAACGGTTAAATTAAAACTGAGGTAATGCTTTTTGTGGCATGGACAATAACAGCTCAAGTTCGGATTAACAGATATGCATTCCTTAGTCTGGTGACACTTTTGTTGCCGAGGCTAACAGGAGGTAGTCAATTTTAATGGTGGAAGACATGTGACCTATTACGATATGTCACAGAGCGAAATGGACCAGAACAGCGTTGGAATAAACCTGAAGTAAAACGAAAGCGTATCTCCTGGTAGTAAGGTCTCCATTTTATGTTTCTACCCTGGGAGATCATGGGGGGAAGTGTCCTTTTATTTCTGGGGTTGATCATCCAACAGGCGCTTAAAGCATAAACAGACAAGAAAACATCATGACATATTTCCCTGGTATTGCAAGGAAACATTCTCAGTCCTTCGTTTTTCATAGCAACGGCGGAAAACCACAGGGCGCGTTGCTACGGGAACAACTCCCAGTGTCTTGCAACAAGTAAGCCTTTCCGACTATTATATGGATTTAAACGTATATCACCCTAGGGTTTCCATTCCATATACACGAGAAGGTTGTTTATGTTTTTGGAGCCATGCCTTTCTGACATATGTGTGTCACATGACAAATACATTTGTTTTCAAATTTGTACCAGTTTGTTTTATTGGTCCAGAACTAACATAAATATTTGAATTAGTAGACCCAAATTTGCTTGTAATTTATCTGAACATTATTTCCCCCTTTTGTAACATTGATATTGTTAAAGATTGTCATACACAGAATATCTCCCAGTTTTATACACGGACTTCGTTCAATTAACCATTCCCTTTATCTCCAACCAGTTAATCAAATAACTACGGTTCTATCAACTGATGCGAATCTTCAAATAAAGACCAAGGTTTAATAAGCTGGTATATATTGCATTGCCATCCAACTAGTAAATGTGGATATCTTATACATTCACTCGTTGATATAGAGCCGATATTTCTG